GGGACCGTGAGGCCTCGTCCGCGGGAGCGGTGACGGGGCTTACTGGGCCTGACGGGGAGGAAGTGCCGCCGGGAGCGCTCCGCGCCAGGCCCGGGGGGGAGGAGGGCTGCGCTGCCGTGCTGGATGCCGTTAAACGGGCCCCGGATACCTTGGAGAGAGCTTCTTGACTCGCAGGTTTGCCTGCGCCACGAGCTCCCTGGTCGCCGCTTGTTGGCTGGCAGCGGGAACGTCCTGGCCCCCAGTCGGTTTTGGCTGTGTTTTACCTTTCATCTTCCACCAGATAAACGTATAGAAGCGGAATCCTCAGACTTCATTTCCTTCTGACTAGCAGGAGGCATAATCAGGGCGAAAATAGCATAATCGTTACTGGTACCTGGAGTTTGCCCTGCAAAGTATAGGGGATGTAATTTTTTCCTGTGGAAAAACACATCTTTTCTTCCCTATTCTCTCCTGGTACTGTAAAGAAAATCAACGTTGCATTTGATTGAGTGGGAGTGACTTTGGCTAAAACTAATCAGAATTCTTTTTGTTAATCTGTATATAGCTTGGCCCTAAGAAACATAGAAAATGATGGGAAGACTTTATGTAAATTTCATTTAAAATAGCGGCAAAGATGGTACATTGGATTTGAAAACTGGAACCCTTTTAAAGTTGAGAGTTTGAGTGTTAATCTTTGTGTTTCTATAGAACTTGAATTCTTATCTGAACAGAGTGGAAAAATGTATTTATTTTTTCAAAGAAACTTCCCCCTGCCTTTTTTTTTTTTTTTTTTTTGTTAGCACTGTCTTTAAATGCTCAAAGAGGGAACCTAGCCCAGGAAAGTGAAAATTGCCTTGAGAAAAGTTGCCTCTCTGTGTAATTCAGGTAATGTTGTCTGTTGTGATTATTCTGTGATATTGAACTTAAAAACTTGTATTACCTAACTGATTTTGTTTACCTGTTTGTTCACACTCACATAATTTATATTGATGTTTTTCTTTAATGACAAACTGTAAGTGTGAAGTATTGATTCCTGTGTTTTCAGGGAGATCTTAACATGTAGAAAATATTCTTATGTTAGACATAAATCTCTATTTAAAAAAAACCACAAACCATTACAATATCTGTGCAACAGATCCCTTATCTAGGAAAGGTGAAGCTTGATGAGTATTCTTCTGGAGACCTGGGAAAATCATAATGATATGCAAAGCACTGGTGTAGTACTTTATTCTTTCAGACTGGATTGGTCACCCACCTGGAATGGGTTGGATAGCACAAGAATACTTTGCAAGTTGTTTCTGTGTTGCTTGAAACAGTATGTCTAATGGAATTTGATCAACAGCTAGGTGTTACATTGCATTTTTTTTACAGGTAGTACTTTCAGTTTTCCTTTCTTACTCAGCTTCCTAAAACTTGCTGTGTAGTGTGCCACCCTTCTGTTGTCTGATGTGTCATCTACTGTAGCCGGCAAGTGACAAAACGTTCTATGCGCCTCAACTGTTTTTTCAAAAAGTCAAAATTTCTAGTTCCAGGTTTTGAAGCCTATATGGGCCTATAGTGCTAGATGGTACCATAAAGTAGGCATGAAGGAGTGGAGGTAACTCAAAAGCATTGGTTTAAGACTGTGTTGCTTCATATATTTCCTCCTCTTTGAAGAGTACTTTGGATTAGAGGGGAATACAAAAGGGCTAACATGCTACTGACCTGACAGCTTCTTATTTAGGGAGGCTGGGAAGAGGAGAATTAATCAGTATGGACAGTAAAGGGCAGTCAAGCCGTAACCAGAACGTGTAGATTTTGAGAAGGCTGTCCATGGCCTATCCTGTGGTCTCTTGTGAAGTTCTTTTCCAGACGAGGCATTTCACATCACACTTCCAGCAACATCATTCCTTTGACCCTGAAAGTCTTCCTATACTTTCAACTGTCCAGGATGCTACTCTGAAGGTAACTTTCTCAGGCCATTGCCTTGACCACGTTGTCCTATCTCCGTCCTCCATGGGTTTTTGCTGCTTATCGTTGTCAGGATTCTTGTCTTCATTTTGTAGTTCCTTCGTGATTTATCCCCAGTTTACCACTGAGGTCTTGCTCAGTAACAGGAACTATTGTAAGTTTTGCAAGCTGACAGTTTTGGAAGAGGGAGAAAATACAAGTCTTGAAGTTGAAACTAATGACTTGGGGATTAGTTTGCATCGTGAACAAGCGTGTACCATACATACAGGTGTACACTCTGTTTACATATTTCTGGCCATCAGTTATGGGGCTGGTTGGTTACAAGTTCTTCTGCAACTTCAATAATGTTGTCAAATAAGTCTCTTTGCATAGAACTTCACAGAGCCTTTTTTAAAAGGAAAGGTAAATAATTCTCTAGCCAGCCTGCCCTCATCACTGTTTGAAATCTTAGCACAGACAAAGTAGTCTCTAGCACAGACACTAACGCTACCGTTGCAGTTACAGAATACATCAGCTGACAGCAACAGAAAACAACTTTCCCAGTAGACGTAAATGGTTGATTTTCAGAATTCTACTCAGATTGCAGCCTGCTTCTTTTACTATTATCATTCATCAAAGGAAGTGTTATCATGCTACTTTTTTTTCCTTTGTGGTTTCAAGATTATGTTATTTGGTGATAAGGATTTGAATTTATGATACTTATAGTAAGTTAGTTTTTTTTTTTTTTTTCCTGAGTGCCAGAGAAAAGAAATCCTGATTGTATTGTGTATTTTTGGTTTTGTGTTTAAATAGGTTTGTACTGATAAAATGTGGCGAAACTGAAATAGTTTTATGGGTCTTTTCCAGTCCTGTGGGCTTTCAAGACCTTTTATAAACAATAAAAGTATTCTAACATCTCAAGTGTACTTAAGTAATACAGATAAATACCTAGACAGAGGAGGTTTTTAGGCAACCTAAATCTGGAAGAAATGGTAGCAAACATAATTCCATAAATGATACATTATAATGTTTGAACAACTGTAGCTATTTGAAAACGAATGGGATTATGATGGCAGGTAGCAATTCCTATCTAACTTGGAGTGTGTACTGCAGATACAGCCATCAGTAACTACTTACCTAACCCTTATAAAACATTTTTAAAACTATAACTCTACTGTATTTTTGAAAGGCTTCACCTGTCTTACTTTTTGCAAGTGCAGCTAATATGTCATTTAAGAGATGGAATAATGGAGAGGGTGGGGTTTTTGTTGTTTGTTTGTTTTTCTCCATAAAGCAAACAATAGATGAAGGAGCTTAGTCCTTAACTTAGGTTCTTAAAAAAGCAAACGCGACAAAGTTTAGAAATAAAAGCTCTTAGTCTTACAGAAGAGAATGGCAAGAACGGTCAATTTAAGGTAAACTTTCTGCTTGGCCTATTTTGTTCCTGCTTTTTTTCAAGAAAGAAAAAACTCCATCTATATCTGAAGTTGGTCAGATATTTGGAATGTTGAGCTATAGAGAATTAAAAAAGAAAAACTGACAGTACTTCTGCACTTGTTATAGACAACTGTACATGGGAACAAAATAGAAGACTGTGAAGGGCTGAGTAGTGAAGGGCTGAGTAGTGAAGGGCTGAGTAGTGAAGGGCTGAGTAGTGAAGGGCTGAGTAGTGAAGGGCTGAGTAGTGAAGGGCTGAAATCACTCAAAAATTCTCTTTCATATAGTCTACAAAGAGAAGTTAGCTAGGAGGCAGGGAAGGGATAAACTTTCCAGTTTTACTATAAGGTACTCTATTTTAATGTTTGCAGGCCACTTCTTTATAACAGCTGAAAAGATTGTGATAAGGAAATTCTGGTAACAGTAAATATTAAGAAAATTTGGCTATGTAGTAGTAATCTGTTAACATTCCATAAGATCAGGATCCTGCAAGTTATATGGCAGAGTAGACAGCAAATTCTTTGGAAGTAGGTACACTGTGAAATAGCATATTAAAAAGTTTCTTGCCCTGGTTACCTACTGGATACAGTCTCAATATATAATTTTTAATAACTGGCAATATGAACAGGCCTGCCAGCTTGACCAGAATTGTGCAATGCAGCAACCTAGCTGTGTAGGCATGGTTGACTTATACCCAGCAAGACACGTATTTGGAGGACAGGAAGAATGCCATCTAAAAAGCACGCTAGTGGTTTTTGAGTGTTTTTTTTTTTCTTACACGTTTTGCAGTGCTTATAGAAACTTATCTTTTAATTATTGTATATTATTCATTTTCCTTATAGGATGATCACATCAAAGGGAATATCAAGGGAGGAGAGAGGCGCTGGTGGTTTTGGCAACTGGTTTGGGAACCGCCAAGATTTTTAGTAACAAAGAAGATATTGTATGTTTCTGGCACCTCAGACAAAATTAAGGTCTTCCCCTACCAGGGACTTTCCTACTGACTTTTGGACCGTGGCAGATACCCTTTTAAACGTAGAGAAAAGTAAATTCCTCAGTCTATACTCTGATATCCATTTGACAACTTTTAACTTTTTTTTAAAAACTTTGGACAACTTTAACTTCACAAGTTAGCATTGTGAACTATAATGAAGATGTTTTTACATTTTTGAATTAACATAGGGGATGAAATGATTCTTGTGTAAAGAATTAAACCTTGGGCAGACTTACCCCACCCCCCCCACCACCCC